CATTACTGACAACAATTAATATTATTAATTTATTCTGTGTCTTTCTTTCTGAAAATAAGCAAGATTGTTTCTCCTACTAAAAATTCAAGGTAAATAATTATTACAAATTCGTAATTATTATTATTGTAATTGCTGAGAGTTGTACATAGATAATTCTGTATAAAATTGTGTATTTATATAAATTTTATATGCAAATAATTTGCTATAACTTAGAAGTTGAGAACAATTGATGCAGAAGAGGAAGGGGAGAAGGCATCTTTGTTTGGAGTGTATCCAGTAAGAGCTTTCCTCTATCCCTTTTTTTATTCATCATTCGAAACAAGAATTTATTAATACATATGTAAATTCGATAAGTTGGTCATGTTGGGGTGACCGACTTATCAAGAGAACTGAGTTATTGAATTTCACATGATTAAAATTTTTAAAATATTTATTTATCTCAAATATTAGAAGGTTGCAAAATCAATCTTTTATACATATTTCTGAACATAATAAAATTTAATGGAAAGTAAATTAGCGATGACTTATGCTGCACTATCTCATTCCGAAACGTTGATCAAAGAACATGAATCAAAATTAGATGAATCTGATAAACTTAGTAAACATAACAGAAGTTTGATAGATAGTTTACAGAATTACATAAAAGATTTGGAAGGAAAACTTCAAAAACATGGTAATGACGGTGGTGGTGATTCGAAATCAGTATCAAAAGAGGAACATCCCGAGAAATTTATTAGTGAGACGGTGCGATTGCTAGAAAAAAGATTGGAAGAGAAAGAAGAAGCCTACAAGAAATTAGAAGAGAAATTCAAAAGGGTTGAAATCGATCAAGATAAAAAAGTACTTTATCAACAAATCGATGACCGTGACCGTAGAATTTCTGATCTGGATAATAGATTAAATCTACTTGTAAATCAATTAGAGAAATTAAATACTTTAAATCCTTCTTTAACCAGCAATTCCTCAACCACTTCCACCTCCATCACCACTTCCGCCACCACTTCTTCTTCAAATATTAAATCTGTTAGTTTTGCATCTTTGGATGATGGTAACGATAATGGTGATAAGAACGATGAACTTGAATCAAAACTTTTGAAATTGCAAAAATCATATGATGAAGTCTTGAGTGAATTAAATGAAACCAAAGCAAAATATCTATCTTCGCTAGATGAAATTCGAAATCTTAAAAATCAATTAACCACCATCCCCACCACCACCACTTCTATTATTACAACAGACACTAAAAATAGTGATGTTGATGAAAAAAAAACGA